CACTGCACCTGCCAGACTCAATGTGTGCAGTCCATCCAGTCTTCCACATCTCCCAAGTCAAGCCAGCCATCCCTAACACCATCCCAAACCAGACTCAACCACCACCCCCACCAGTTGAGATTGATGGTGAACTAGAGTTCAAGGTGGCTGAAATCCTCAACTCCAAGGTTGACTAGCATTGCTGGTGTTGGCTACAGTACCTAGTCCAGTGGACTGGCTACAAAGGGACTGATGAAGAAATGACTTGGGTACTCACTACAGAGCTGGACAATGTGTCTGAACTCATACAAGAGTTCCATGCCTGCTACCCTGATACACCTGGCCCATTCCAATGAGGACCAGCTTTGGCCAGCCTCAGTTCTCTTTTCTCTTTTCTCTTGGTATCTAGTCCCTCCCTGATCTCTTACTTACCTTGTACTTTTTCTCTTGTTTCTCTCACTTTACTTTACAAAGCCAAGACCAGGTGCTTGAAATTTGGCAGGGAAAAAAAAGAAGGTGCTATGCTATGGTCTAATTGGCCTTGGCCTCCTCTTCCCCACCCTCATTGCCAGCCCTTAGCCATTTGGCCTCCTTGTGCAACTCATCAGAGTTGAGCTTGGATGAGCCCAAGTCTGATGGAGTGGACGACACCCCATACCCATAGGACTTGTCAAAGAGGGCCTCAAGGGCATTGGCAATGTGGCCTGAGTTTTCATTTGTGGTCTCCTGCAGGTCATAGAGACTCACCAGGTTATTGGCAATGAGCCCCACAGCCTTGATGAGGTGCTCAAGCTTGTCTTCCAAGCCCAAGTATGCACTGGCATCCCTCGTCCTACTCCTGCTGGCCTCAGACCCATTGAGATCAAGTACCTTGATCAGCCTCACACTCAACTTTGCCTGTTTCTTCTTACTTGGACCAGGTTTGGGGGTCTCTTCATTGGCTTTTCATTTTTTCCCCTTGTCAGTCTTCCCAGCAGCCTTGGGACTGGCCCTGGCATCTTTCCCATCCCTGGGCCATCAGTGCTTGCCTTTCAATAGGTTGCACTGGATGCAGGCAACCCACTTCTTGTTGCCATCTATGAGAAACTCACAGATGACCTCTGCCTGGGTGCAATGGGCACAGCTAAAAAATGGGCTTCAGACAAAACATGCAGGAGTCGAGAGGGTACTCACCCAGGGTCCATGACCACCTTCTTCACCTCAGTGGCCTCACTACTACTGGCCCCAGCTTCATCATCCTTCACAGCCTCAAGCCAAGCCTGCTCCTCCTGCTGGGCTTGCTCAGCCACCTTGTGCCACTTCCTCTCTTTGGCCTTGGCCCTCATCATCTCCTCTTCATCATCAGTGTCATACTTGATGGAATCATCTGACACCTGGCTCCAGTTGATCATGGTCTGGCCTTCACTGTTGTTGTCAGTTGTGATGATCAGTCTCAAGGCAGACATGATGTTTGAGATACAAAGAAAAGACACAAAAGGCTTAGTGGGCCACAAGTATCACTTTTTCAAACTCAGCCAAAGTTTGGACTCAGCCTACCTCTTCCACAGGGGCCTCATGGGTTCAACCCCTAAGAGGGGGATACTGTCATAGTCATGTCTTAACCCTGGCCAGACTTGGCCTCACACTTGCTCAGTCTGGCCTTGGCCTCACCAATTTCTTATCTCCAGATGTCCTAGCACAATGAACACTGCTTTGCAGTGTGTGTCACTTCAGTTAAGCTCTGCCCAGTCTTGTCCCCAGTTTGCCCTGTCCTGGTCCCTGTTACCTTAGTCATACCTTAGTAATATTTGTCTTACCAATCACCTTAGCAATCTTTTGTGAGACTGGCATTACTGGTCTCTGTGCTATAGCTACTTCTAGTATATAAGCCCATAGATACTTGGCCTGTATTCTGGCAGTCTGAAATCAAATAAGTTCTGTCTGTAATCCTTGGCCTTGGACTTGGATTGCAACCCATGCAAGGGAATAGCACTGTAGCCTCAGTCTCTATGTCCAATCAGTCCACCACTCTGTATCTTTGTCTTTCCTCCAGATCCCAACCCCTTGGCCTTGTGCCCACTTCAGTCTCCAGTCCAGACTCAACCCAGACTTCACAAACTTGACAGATGGTCTGAATCATCTAAAGGCAAGGACATCCCAAGGTGCACTCACTTGTTTGGGGAGTGACTGTGTCACTCATTGATGGTGGGACAATGTGACTGGTTAACCCCTTAACAGGAGTAGTTGGCTCCTTTGCATGGTCAGGAGACAATGGCATAGTAAGTTGGCCATATCAGAAGAATTAGTGAAATGAGCATCTTTTGGAGGGAGTGCTGTAGAACCATGTGGAGTGTGCAAATCCTTTCCAATTTTGGAAGGTAGGATCACATGGCTGAGCACTACAAGTGAGTGTTGGAATGGTGTCAATATCTGTGGAATTGGTGGAGATATGTTGAAAACTGGAATGCCATACATGGGCACTTAAGAATTTTTATCAGCACTTAACTTGCTTCCTTTCTTTTTCTTTGGCACTGATGACTTGTTCTTGTGCAAGGGATGACTGCTGACATTTCTGGCTGTCCTTCTTTGCATGAGGGCTATGGTCTTCATCTCCATTCATCAGCTGCATTCATGTTCACCTCACCAAACAGCTTTGGTGTGTGACAACAGGCCCATCCATCATATTCATGCAGTATGATGCATCATATAGATGGGCCCATCACTAAGGCATGGATGATATCACATTACATGAACAGGCCCATCTATGGTGTCATCTGTGTGACCACCACATATGGATGGGCCAGTATATATGTTGTAGATCATGTTGGATCAAATAAATGGAGCCATCAACAGTGTGGTTGGGCTGATTCATGTGTAACAATGGGCCCATCAGCCATATCGAGGTATTATGATGCATCATATTGACAGGGCCATCAACATGGCATGAACCAGTTTGGGTCAAATGGATGGGTCCAACAATGGGATGACTGGGCAGATTGACAAATATGGACCCATAACTACATCAATAATAATGTGGGATCAAATGTATTGGGCTGTAAAATAGGTCACATTGATGCAGAAGATATTCTTGTGTTTCTGAGCGATCATAGGTGGTATTCCATGTGTTCCATCAGAGGTCACATCCCATGCATTACCTGCATCCATCTCAACAGCACAATGAAGATCTACACCAAATGTGATGAGCTCACAGCTGCAGCAAACTCCATCATCAAAATCATTGATTGGCAAGTCCATGGAACAGAGGACTTGGCTGACAAGCCAAGGTTTGTGGCTTGGAAGGAGGCTGTGGGAAGGGTAGTGGAAGTAGTGGCAAGTCCAAATATCATCCCACATGTTGCACCTCTGAGGAATATAAGATTCCATGCATGAAATTGTGAGGATGATGCATGAGATCCCACTCACCATCATTGCAGCCAAAAGGTTCTGCAAATGGCATGAGAGGGTTGGATGGGAGAATGAGGGTCTCCCATTTCTGAAGTGGAGACTAATCACCCACCCAGACAGGGCCACCTTTGATGACCATCTGTGGCTGCAGATGGTCGAAAGGCACTTCAACTTGACTAGGTGCTGGAACTGCTTGTGGGCTGCCCAGAACACATTTGTTGCGAACTTGGGATGCATGTGGAGGTTTTCCAGCAGGTTATTGTCGCTTTGCAGCAGCTTGGACTCAAGAATTCAAGGTTCATTTCTCTCAAGGAACAACTTGCAATATTCCTGTATACATGCATCACTGGCCTGCCATTCAGGCATGTAGGGGAGTGCTTTCAATGATCAAATGATACAATTTCACAGTATGTATTTAACACTCCTCTGATGTAACTACTGCATGGAGTTTCCAGTTATTTCCATATCATACTCACCATGCTTGCAACACAACCTTTTTATACAGACTACATTCGATTTCCAGCTGGCAATACTGTTCCTTTGAAGATCCAAAACAACCCAAAATTCTGGCCATACTTCTGCAATGCTATTGGCACCATTGATGGAAGCCATATCCATGTATCTCCCCCCACCTATGTATGTTCAAACTACCAGAACTGCAAGGGATATGTTTCCCAAAACTGTCTCTTTGCATGCAATTTTGACTCATGGTTTATATACTCTCTTATTGGCTGGGAGGGCAGTGCAGCAGACACCCATGTCTATGAATATGCGACCACACATGACTTGAGGATTCCCAAAGGAAAATTTTTGCTTGCAGATGCCAGATTTCCTGCAGACTGAACATTGCTTGTTCCATACTGTGGTGTATGCTACCATTTAGCTGAATGGGGCCATGCTAGCATAAGGTAAGTAATCACACTTACAATCCCCTGACCATCCCACTGATGAAAACTGCAGGCCTGTGAACAAGCAAGAATTGTTCAACTTGTGGCATGTGTCAGCCTGCAATGTTATCGAATGTATTTTTGGTGTCATAAAGTGTCATTTTCATATCCTTTCACTAGTTCCACCATTTGATCTCCAGACACAAGTGCAGCTGCCAGAAAGCACACCTCTAGGAGAGCCCAAAGTTGGTTGGAAGAACAGGAAATCAACCTTCTGGACTGGCCTGCACAATCTCCAGACTGTAATCCCATTGAACATACTTGGAGTCACCTCAAGAGATGCCTCTCAGGTTATGAGAGTGCTCCTACAGTCATTCACTGGCTGTGGGAAAGAGTGGGGGAAGAGTGGGGGATGATTGATGAGGAGCAGTGTCAAAAATGGATAGAGCTCCATATCACAGAGACAGTCTGAATTGCAGGAATGGAAAGCAACCATTCCAACAGTTGATGGAAGCAGCAATGTGGCTATCCCTCCAAGGTCAGTGGTATTGGCCATGAGCATTTCATCAGAGCTTCCATTCAGGTCTTCAGCATCCAATAGATATCTGTCAGACATGCACCAGCTGTCTTGAAGTTCATTGCCTTCCTCATTGATTGGATTCCAATCACCTCCCACATCTTGCTGTAGACTGATGTATATGGTGGCATCTGTGACAATCCCTGACTGCTCTGATAATAAGCACTCCTTGCTCATGCAATTACCAATCTTTTCAGCTCTGGCACATGTGCACCAACATTGCAATGATCGATGCACAATGTGATTGCCACTTCTTCCAACCTGAGACCATGAGTGAGCCAACTTCCCATCCCACACTGTGCCCTGCTCAATGTGGTATTGTTCAAAAACTCCAGTTCAACAGTATACACTGTTGGGGCTAATGAACATTTCAGATGTATTGTGAAAGGAGGAACAGGCATGAACCTTACCCTTCTTCATTTGCACTTTGAAGATATCCATGGCAGAGGGGTCAACCATTTGGTCTCTGAAGGCCACTTGCTCTTGGTAGGTCCACATATCACATTGTGTCACAGACACTGCTTCATCCAATGTCTTGAATGGCCATTTTGCCATATCTGCTGCTACCCTCACAGTTGTCAGTTTCTGCATCAGACTATTGACTAAATGCAAACAGTCAGGAAGGTTAGCACATGAATAGAAGCTCATACCCATGCAAATCATCTTCATGAAGTTGCAATTGTTGATCTGAAAATCCAACAGCTCCTGGTTGTGTGGGGCACTCATGCCCTGGGCCAAGGTGGATGCAATGTTGAGTAGCAACCACAAGGTCTCAATGATTTCTCCATCTACCCACCCAGCGCCTTGCATGAATAAGGGTGCATGTCAGGCATAGCATTCCTGTTTGTGACCATGCACATGCCACATTCTGATTCCTGGCATAATCTGCATTGAATCCAGTGTAGGGAATGTAATTTCCCTACTAGAGCATGTGTTTTATTTTGTTCATTTTATTTAGTTTTCATTTTAGGTGTTTTTCTGTTAGTGGTACTTGGATTTTCGCTTTTTGGGTTGCTTAGTCAGCCCTACCTAGTACTTGCTGTACTTAGTTTTTTTTAAAACAATAGATGAGTCACCCTGAGACAAGAAACATTCAAGTTGAGCCCACAGACTGCCTTAGAAGTCCCCAGATGTCACCTCTATCATTTGCTCAGGCTATAGGAGCCCCTCTGGCCTTCCTCATTTCCCTTCAGAATCTACAGTCCTCCCCAATCACCAACAAATCACTAATGCTTCACCAGGATGTCAATGAATGTGCTATTTTGGACCTCCATGTGTAAATTTTTCATGTATGAGCAGTTGATGTCATAGAAGCATAGGACATGGTTGATTCCTGCCATGTTGTAGTGCAATGCATTTGCCAATGAGTAATCCATGTGTAACTGCCTGAACTGCCATGAGCTGGAGGCACATCATTGATGTGATATCCTACCTTTCCCCTTTTTGGAAGTCAACTGCAGAATGTGGGTAAAAACACCCATGCTGGGCACATGCCATCACACCAATTCTGGTCAAGTGAAGTCTGCCCTGTTGGGCATTGGCCTGATTAATTGCCTTATGATTGTTGCATGCTGATTTCTAGCTAACACATGAGTAATTGAATGGTGGAAGCAGTCTGACAAATGTACCTCTGTGATGTGGGGTGTGGCCTTCAGGTATGCCTGATAATCTGGATCTGTGACCATGAATCCATGGCCATCCATCAACCACACCTGATCTGCAGGACACCTGTCATGTGTATGTTCAGCTTTGAAATTTCCATCCATCACTAGCATGCAGGTATATTTCCAGCTTTGGAAGGTTAATGACAGGGGATGAGCCAAATCCCAACACTTACTGATCCAGATCTTCTGCTGGGTCAACATTGATCCCAGGCTGTGGACATGCCACACAAAATAACCCCAACTCCCCTTTTTTAGGAGCCTGCTCACATTACAGGAAGCCATTCCATTTCAACAGTTTCAGGAGTCACCATTGCCTTGCAACTCACAGCAACTCCTGGTATCTGTCCTGGTCATATTACTGCCTTAGATGCCCTGCAATTGACCATCATGGTCTGACAACCTACTGGAACTAGGTGAGGAAAGACATCAGAAGTCATCTGTCACAATTTTGAGTAATAGTTCATCCCAGATGTGCCACATTCCAGGTTGTCTCACAAAATCATCCAAGACTGCAAATGTAAATGCAGTACTTGGTTTTTTGAATGTAGCAGGAAATTGCTTGGCTTGCAGCAATTGTAGCCAGAAGCTTTCTGCAGCTTTGCACTGGCACCAACATACTGGGATGAAATGCACCCCAGTCACATTGATGACAGTGAGATATTTTGACCTGATGGGCTGACACATGTGGGGAAGAACATCATCAACATCTTCCCATCCAGGGGCATTCATTTTGACAGGCCCTCCAGTCCCATTTGCATGGGATGGATCCAAAAGGCAAGCTGCTCTGGTGTGCCCAAGGTGCAGCTGAGCACCAGTCTGAGTCCACTCTGTAAATGCAATGTGAAGTAATGAGGGCATCTCTCACCATATGGAGTGCCAATTCCTCAAAGAACTCCCCATTCCAGTGCTGCACTCTGTGAAAAAGCAAGCATTGGTGAGTCATTCTACAGCATTCCCTGCAGAACATGGGCTGCTGCAAGTGATCTGCACATCTGTACAACCCATCTGTTCCACAACTTATGCAGTTCCATGGGTCAGGAGGTGCTTCCAGCTCCAACAGGACCCTCATGAACTCCTCTTTGTGTGGAAGCCATTCATGGATATAATCATTCTGTGTCTGAGAACAGAAATGAGCTTGGGTTTTTGCATGAAGGATCCCTTGGTACCTTTTTTTGAGCTAACTGTAATGGCTCTATAGGAGGAGCATTATCATCATATTCCATGTCGAGTGCATCTTCATCAGTATGCATGTGCTGTTTGGAAGGCAAGTGGGAGTGCTTTGATGGTGAAGAGCAGGATGAATGGACAGCAGAGGTGGCATCAGCTTGTGCGATTGTCTCATCCATGGCAATAGACAACATGTCCCATCAGCCTCTTCCCATGTGTGGCACATGGTAGATCTCTACAGCCCCTCAAGGGAGTCATGTGCAGCATAGGGGTGCCCCTTATACCCCTTATTGTCTGAGGCATATATTGAGCAGTTGAGGAGGTATGTTTAACCCAACACTCCTGCCTATGATGAATTCTCTGCCACTTGAGGTTAAATGACATATCCTTGGGTATAGTAACATTGGGGACATCACTATGTTGGCTCAGACCCCTACTGTGCTGAATAAGATTGCTCATGAATACATCCTGCACTGCCTGCATCTGTTGACTATGCCATTTTTCAGCAATGCTGGGATGCTGCTGAGTCTCCTGTGGTCATGTGATGCCACTGTGTCTGGGTCCTGCATGCTGCACATCCTGTTACCTGTGAATGAGACCCCTTGGGTGCCATCTGACCTCAATATATATATATATCTCCTGTCATCAGTTGATGTACCTGTCAGTACTACTACAACACGATGGTGGGTGCCTCAGACTTTGCATTGCATCTGAGCTTCTCTCACCACTGTGCACAGACTATGTCATCATGTGCCAGCAATCTGTGGATGCAGGGCCATGTGGCTCTTCCTCAATTTGCTATGTCATGCCATTCTCCAACAGCCAACAGTCTATCAATGTCATTGTGTCCTCCACTGTGGCAGCTGTGTCACTGATTTTTGAATTTCACAGCATTGCAGTGATGAATTTCATCATGGCAGACAACATCTTCTGTGCATATCCATCACTGACCCTCAAGCTATTGTTGATGGTTAATTCAGGCCCCTTATACTTCGAGGTGTTTGGCTTCAAGACAATATGTGCTCTCAAGGAGTATGCCATGTGGGGTTTTCTTTTGGTGGCTTGCCATGAGATGCATGGTGTGTCTGGGCTTTGTAGATTGGTGCCTCACTCAATTACAGACTGCCATGGGCTGTGGATTAATATCAGCCAAATGCATGGCATGTCCCTTTTGCCTGCTGAGATTTTTGAGAGCTTGGGTTTCATTCTGGCTTTTGGGTGGTTATGTATGTGGAAGCATTTATCCCTTTGTCCATGCTCAGTGTTTTCTGATCAAGGATGATTTGTGAGTCTCAGCTACTTGTCTGCTCATGAGTGGTTGCTGATTCAGCTTAGGCATGAACTTCTCAGTCATCAGTTCCTCAGAAGTGAGGGCACTACATAGGTGTGGATTAACTGCTGTTGTTAGGGTGGAATGTATTTGTACTATGTCATCATGCATGTGGGCCATGGTATTGGTACATGAATCTATTGGTTGTACATCTCTTTTGTGTGGTCCATGCTGTGAGGGCAGCACTCTGGCATGGTAAACAAGGTGCCTGCCATGTTCTAGTATATCATCACATGACTACATTACTGAGAGCTTGTATGGAAACCATAGTTCAGTTGAAGTTCACACAGTTCTCTTGTTTGACAAGTGGCACACAAGTTTGGCACAAGGCCTGGCAGCATGTTGGGGATTGAACATGCTGCCTGATCATCTGAACATATGCTGTGCCCTGCTGCAGCAAATCTTGGTCCTTCTCCAGACACTTCTGGCCTTGTTGGCTGAGCTGATTGGTTTCAGCATGTGCAGAGACCCAATACCATACCACACCTCCAGACTCTCTGGAGAAATGTGGGTCCAGGCAGTCTTGACCGGTCATCCTGATTGTATCTGCTGTGAGTTTGGTATGAGCAAGGAGGTTTTTGTTGAGCTTGTTGAGGAGCTTCAAGGCATTGGTCATAAAAACTCAAAGTTTGTTACCCTGGGGGTGTCACAAATTTATTTGGTCCATTGTCATGTGCCCCCATTGTAAGCAGTGTGTAATGGACCACTTGCCATTATAATGATCAGGTTTGGCTAGATTATAGCAAATATGTGATATTTTATCTAAGATATAGTGCAAATGTGTAAAATATTATGTACAAATACCCATTTTTGGCAATCTTTCAATGACACATGGGTGGCATTGGCATGGCTTATAATGGAAGTGTGAACAGCCACCCTTAACATGTATTATAAGGTTCTTATCACATGCCCAAGAAATTTGCAACAGGAACAGCTTGCAATTTTCCTGTATACATGTGTAACTGGCCTGACAGGCATGTTGGCAAATGATTTCAGTGATCAAATGATATGATATCTCAGTGACTTCAATACAAAATCCATGTGACAATTCACATATTTGCATACAGATACTTCAAGAAATTGCTCTTTATATTTTCAGACCCACCATTCTATTCCATCTACATACAGTTTCTAACTGGTGAAGCTGTCCATCCAAAAATACACCACAACCCCAAGTTTTGGCCATACTTTTGGGATGCAATCAGCACAATCGATGGCTGCCACATTCCTGTATCCCCCCCCACAACCATACATTCAAACTATCACAATTGCAAAGGATTCCTCTCACAGAATGGGCTTTTTATCTGTGACTTCAGTCTGAGGTTCATCTTTACATTGACAGGGTGGGAAGGGTCTGCAATGGGTGCTCATGTATATGGCGATGCAACATCTACCAATTTCCACATCCCTGCCAGAAAATACCTTCTTGCTGATGCTGGCTACCCCTCACATCGAGAGCTGCTCATCCCCTACTGAGGTGTTTGGTACCATCTTGCAGAACGGGGCCATGCCAATACCTGGTACATTTTCCTTTTTCCATTCCTTTTTCCATTTTCTTAGTTCCCATCAGACCAACAAATAAAGAGGAACTCTTTAACTTGTGGCATGCATCTGCATGGAATGTGATAGAACATATTTTCAGTGTTTTGAAGCACCAGTTTTGAATACTGCTCCTGGTACCAGAATACAACATTGACATATGGCACAAATTCATCTATACCCATGATCAGAATGGGGAGGGCACAGGTGACCTCATGGCTGATGAAGACAATGAAGGTGAAGGTGCTCCTGTTCATCTCCAAGCTATGGGACCTGCAACAGGTGTAGAAGAAGACTTATTCATGCACAGGATGCAGGATGACATTGTGATGGAAATGTAGAATGACTATCAGTTTGTCTTGGGAGAGCAAGCACAGAGGGGTGACATGGATGCAGAATCAGATGTAGAATCAGATTTCTTCAAAGATGAAGTGGCAGATGTTGTTTAGCATAGTTACTGCATCTCATACTTGCACTGAATCAATTTATGATGTGTTCAGAGGAGAAAATGTATGCATTCTGGAGCAAATATACATGCAGCACTAACTAGATGCAAGACATGAAGCTACATGATGATGAGGGGGGGGGATTCTATGTGCCATGGCCCATTCCTTCTTGGGCAGAGTTGTACATATCTACTACATATGCATGCTGGGCTTGTTCATCAGGCAAAGAAATAAAGACAGCTGCAGTGTTAGATATGCCAGACAACTGACATGTCATGAATGCATGGTGATGGGGAAGGATCTTGGCATCTTTGTACAACATCTGAGTGGCTGTCTGAACTGTGATCAGTGGATTCATGAACATTGTTGAATTGTATTGTTGACTGATATGACCACAACAGTATGAGCATTGGTGGCTTGAGGCTTTGCCTTGCTGGAAGAGCATGTGGACATCCAGCTGTGCTTACTCTCATGAATGGATGAGACTGGAGTTGACTGGGGAGGCTGGTTTGTTGAGAATAGAAGGGAGGGCCCAGAGGGGGATTCTGTTGCTGTGATATCAGTGGCCATCACCACAAATGAGTGCTTTCCAGCTGAAGTGGATGTGGTAGTGGGGTCAGACATTTTGGCTGATGTGGCAGCAGTGGGGGGGATGGAAGGAATGGAAGCAGTACTGCCAGTAGTCATGGTAGGGGTGGGGTTTGACATCCCAGCATGGAAAACATGAGCACCAGTTGTGCCACCCTGTGGAAAAATATCCTCAATGAACTGGAGGTACTCCTAGCCCTTGTTATGGAAGGGCCTCATAATTGTATTTCTCTGAATGTCTCAGTAACATATTAGTATCTATTCATACCAAATACATACCTTGATGGCAACAAACTTGCCCCATTTTTCTGTGTCAGCTGCTCCACAGATATTCACACCATTTTCATTGTCCCAATGTTCTCCTGATCCTCTGTGATAAGTCATTATTGCATTGTATATTTGTTTGATCTACATCTGCTGAACATCAATATCACAGACTTAGAGTAGGGAAGGACATACTGATCCCCATTTGATTGACACATTTTTGTAATCCTTGATCTTACCAGTCCAATGGAGGGGGCAAATGTGCTCTGCAGCATTGACATGTGTCACTTGGTGGAAGTTCCCAGCATCAGCACATTCTGAGCAATGTACATGCAAGTACTTGATGAGTGCAGTGGTCTCCTCTGTTGTCCAGTCAGCATGCTTGGCTCCCTCATCTACTTCTCCCACAGGTGCTGCCAGTTCCATGATATTTGATCCAAGAACATTAAAAAGTTCAATCAGTACTCACCAGATGTGCTTGCATTGAGTATTGGCAGAGGCAAGATAGGGAGTGAGAGACATCCTACCATTGGGAGGGATACCAACATTTCAATCTCCGAGTCATTGGCCCAGATCTCTCCACCACTCATCAAACAAGAACAATCCAAGAACTGTGTGAACCTCAACTGAACTACAGTTTCCATACAAGCTCTGAAGCAGAAGCCTGAAACTTGGACTTTGCATTTGTGCGGGCGTGCACAGCTTATATAATCATCACGTGACTACTTTGCTGAAGTCGAAGTCGAAGTTTTCGACTTCGACTTTTCTTTGGTTTAACTATGACGAGAATATCCACGCCGCCACCAGGGGTGCCCGTCACACCTGACACCTTACCCCAGCCGAAACAGACGTCGTTGGCGGGTTACCATTCGGGAGACCTCGCTCTCGGTAGGACGGCTGTCCCCAATGGCCTAGGTGCAATCCCTCAAGTGCCATTGGAGTATTTCAAGTCTGCTGCCCTGCCACCCCTTCGTAAGCAGATTGACATAGGTAAAATCAAGACTTCGTTGGAGGGTGCTGAGGCTTGGTCCCGACACTCGGGGTGGACTGCGATTAAGGAGCCGAAACTTTCTGGTGTATCTGAGGAGGAGACATTGGAACCTCTTTCGAAGGTTTTTGACGCGGTCGTATGCGAAGCTGCCAAAGACCTCCACACCCCAGCAACGCTTAGGTTTGTATCACGACCTACGCAATCGCCACACTCCGACCTGCCCGATTCCAGTCTCCCGGATGCGTACCTGCTACTATTGGAGAAGAAGAGTGTTGACATACCGGGGGCCAAGAAGAACAGTGCGAAAAACTCTGATCACGATTCATGGTACGATATCGCCGTTTCGTTTGAGTTCAAAAAGAGTGACGGGACCGCCGAGCGCAAATACGTGAGTGACAGCCACACTTCTATTCGACCACCGCTAATCTAGTATGATAGGATGACAAGAAGGTAATATGGGGCCTGCACCACATTATGCGTAGCGACCCATGTCGCCGCGCGGCATTTGGTGTTACCATCGAGAACACAGAAATGAGGTTTTGGTTCACTTGCCGGGCGGTCACGCTCGTCAGCAAGTCGTTTAATTTCTTTAGCGTTAGTGGTCACGTCGTCGACTCTATTGCCGTTCGTGACTGACCCTCTCAACAGGAGCCAGAACACCTCATCCACTTCTTCTGTGCCCTCGTGTTCGCAGAGAACCATGAGCTCGGATGGGACCCAACAATCCGGAGAGTGTGCGTCGAGGATGAAACTCAATACATCATTACTGTGGAGACAGAAGACGGGCGAACCATCGAATACCAAACCACGAAGGTCATTTCCGATTTCGGCGTCGATGGTGTGAGTGGTCGTGGGACTCGGATCTTCAAAGTCCATCTTAGGTCTCGAGATGGAAAATTGGATGCGGAACCCGTCGTATTAAAGGATTCCTGGAGAGAGAGTGACCGGGACCGCGAGGATAAAATCCTTGAACAAATATTTGATGACTTGCGGAAGCTGGGCACCGAGGTAGAGCAAGAGGCTAGACAATATTTTCTCACTGTCGTTGAAGCAGGGGACGTGACGGTGCATGGGATGATCGATGGCACCACCAGCCTTCTACACGGATCCGATCTGCCAGCTGACTGTGCTTCATATGCGCTATCTGTCGATGGAATATTGAAGGCGAAACCCACCAGGTCCAGTGAAGGACTCGCACAAAGTCTGCCTTCCGTCCCGGGTGCCACCAAGCATTCGAAAATCCAACACAGGATCCATTTCCGTCTGGTATTCAAGGAAGTTTGCACGCCTATACACGAACTTCAGCACCTCGGTACCGCATTTCAGACGCTACAAGATGTTCTTAAAGGTTTGCTGAGTTGTATTTGCAAGCTTTCGCTAGAGGCTTATATGTAATTATCAGCCTTGCAGCTTTTGCACAGCGTGGGTTGGGTGCACCGTGACGTCAGCACCGGAAATGCTTTACGGGCGGGTGAGGTGGGCAAGTTAGCTGACCTCGAGTATGCAAAACGTATGAACTCCAAGGCCAGCAATGAGGTCTGTACGGTAAGTAGATACTTCATTCCCTACCGAAGCCCTTCCAGTGACGCGTTCAAGGGAACACTAGATTTTATGGCCTGCGAGGTCGAAGCTCAAAAATACTTGTTTGAACCGCCCAAAGTTTTATCCGTCGCCGATTTCTTCAAGGACAACAAAGATAAGGATAAGTTCCCATATAAGTTTAATCCCCTACACGATATGGAGTCTCTTTGGTGGATAGCAACATGGATACTCTATCGACACGTTGACAAGGTGGGCCATCAGCAATCGGAAGCGCAGAGAAAGTGGTTTGACGAGCTCTTCCCCGGACGATTCAATGCTCGTTTTTCTGCATTCTCCGCTGATGTGGACTACGAAGTGCTTCCGACCTCTTTTCAACCCGCAGCTTTTACCGTCGTTTCTGCCATGCGCCAGGCGCTCAAGATCGCTTACATTGCAAGCGAAAATAGCATGCCGCCAGCATATACCGATGCACTTGCAGAACTCCAACGTGTCTTTACCAGCCACCTTGCAGATGGTGTTAAACACTCCAAACACGTCGAACTTCACACCCCGGGTGTTAAGCGGTCATATCAGGAAGATCCAATGTTTGAAAGTCGAGACAACAAGCACCTAAAGGTTCGAAGCTTTCTCAGATCACTACCCAAATGCTAAGGTGAGATGTCTTACTAGCTGCGGTGATGTGGGGCAGCATTCAAATGTCGATTATCGATGACACCTCACTGCTAGAACCGCAAATAATGGTTTCCTGTACTACGTAGTATGAACCATCCGATTGGAATACATGTAACGTGCCATTATGTCAAACCTCAGGACACTAATAACTATTGCATGCATATTCCTGGATGCATCCTGTTTCAGGTCTGAAAATTGTTTTGACCCCTGAGTTTTTACCAGAGGGGCTGACTTTTTGGGGTGAATGTCATAACTAACAAGTCATGCTTGAATCATGGTCTGGAGTTTAGAGTGCTTTGTGCTCTGTATTCTTTTGCAATGCATCTACATCCCAGGATATAAGCAAGATATGTTGTATTATTGTAGGTGCCAACCATCCCCCCCTACTTACTTTTGTAGGTTGAAGAGCTACAGTTCAAACAGAGGAAGCTGTGAAGACTAGAATAAAGGAGTGTAATAGTACAGTTAACAACTGTAGAAAAAGTATCTCACCTCAGCTTGAGTATGTCAAGACTGAGGTGTGTTTGAAAGATGAAAACTAGCACAAGTACAAGTGTATTACATAAGGCTGTGTTGCTGAATAATGAAAACAGAATGTACCACAACACAACCACTCAGCAAAACAAGTCCTTGAAAATAACACCCACACCTCTAGAACACAAGAGATGTCTCTCACAAGACAGACCCTTGGTTAGGACATCTGCAGTCTGCTCAGTAGGAGGAACAAACTCAACAGAAATTTCACCCAAGTCAAGTTTCTCTTGAATAAAGTGTTGCTGGATAGTGATGTGCTTCATATGGTCATGAAACATTGCATTCCAGGCTAGGGAAATAGCATGGTTGTTGATAGGGAGAATGGTCAGTTGTCAAGAGGGAGGGGGGTCCAACTTGTCCATCAGTGTCTGTATCCAGATTGCTTCCTTTGCGGCTGCAGACATGGCCATGTACTCAGCCTCCATGCTAGATAGTGCAATGGCAGTCTGCTTTTCAATGACCATGGTAGCTAATAGCACCACTGGACACATACAGTGAGGGACAAAAGCATTGCAATGTTTGTGAGGTGTGACTTGCTGCTGATGTAGCTTGGGCTATTCTGCACAGATGATCATGATACCTATACCATTGGAAAGGAGTGACTCTAAGCTTTCCAGAGCACTAAGGTTCAGTCAAAACAAAGCAATTCATGCCAAGATACACCCTGTTCTTTCCAAAAAGTGCATTGCAACACCTTTGTCCCTGACTGATGAAATAGTGAAAAGTGACCTTTTGATGGGATTAAGGGCATGAAGGATGGGAAAATGGGAAAATATGATTGCATAATAAACCACATGGTCTTCCAGATGATTTGTCAGCATGTAAACAATGACAAACATTGGACTTGTACCATTAACCCTCCCTCTTTTACCACAACTCATGAAATCATCTCTAGCTCACATGGTCATTTTCTCAAGGAATTCTTATCAAATACTGGTGGCCACCACAGTGCCATCAGTATAACATGCTCTCAGAACCATCAGTCCCTTAAAAAACCTGCTGTTAGTCATTCCCTGGACTGTTTCTCCCCCCATGCCTGATGTGTTCTGGGACTAATCAGTACTTGGAAGGCTGAAAATGTTATGGACGTCAATCTGGCACTTCAGCACATGGTGAACAAACCAATCCCCTCTCAACCAATGCATTTCTGGCACAGGGACAGTGGTATGGAGGTTGGGGAGACAAAACCTCCTTGTGCTCCAAGCACCCTAAGAGGGTTCACTAGATCTTGCTCTGATCTGAACTTTGGATGACTGGGGAAGGATTATTCAGTCACATGTGACCAAAGGCAATATTCAGGGCCAGATGGAAGCACAGGATTCTGCACCATGGTAGTTCAGTAGCATATCCTTTGGATGACACCCAGGGGTAGAGAGGATTTTGTCTTGCCCTAACTTCCATACCACTATCCCTGTGCCAGAAATGCATTGGTTGAGAGGGGATTGGTTTGTTCACCATGTGCTGAAGTGCCAGATTGACGTCCATAACATTTTCAGCCTTCCAAGTACTGATTAGTCCCAGAACACATCAGGCATGGGGGGAGAAACAGTCCAGGGAATGACTAACAGCAGGTTTTTTAAGGGACTGATGGTTCTGAGAGCATGTTATACTGATGGCACTGTGGTGGCCACCAGTATTTGATAAGAATTCCTTGAGAAAATGACCATGTGAGCTAGAGATGATTTCATGAGTTGTGGTAAAAGAGGGAGGGTTAATGGTACAAGTCCAATGTTTGTCATTGTTTACATGCTGACAAATCATCTGGAAGACCATGTGGTTTATTATGCAATCATATTTTCCCATTTTCCCATCCTTCATGCCCTTAATCCCATCAAAAGGTCACTTTTCACTATTTCATCAGTCAGGGACAAAGGTGTTGCAATGCACTTTTTGGAAAGAACAGGGTGTATCTTGGCATGAATTGCTTTGTTTTGACTGAACCTTAGTGCTCTGGAAAGCTTAGAGTCACTCCTTTCCAATGGTATAGGTATCATGATCATCTGTGCAGAATAGCCCAAGCTACATCAGCAGCAAGTCACACCTCACAAACATTGCAATGCTTTTGTCCCTCACTGTAGCCCATAACAGATCTGTGATCATTTATGTCAGCTGCCCAGTCAGCATCAATGTAGCTAATAGGGCAACCCTCTTCTGACTTTGGCCAGAGTCAATGGTTTTGTGGAGATACCTGAAGACATGCTTCAGTGCAGTCTGATGCTCAAGTCCAGGTGATGCAGCATGATGGTTAAGGATGCCAACTGCATAGCCCAAGTCTGGTCTCATAGCAAGCATAGCATACATCAGCATGCTGAGTGCACTCTGATAGGCCTTAACATCAACCTCCAGATGCTCCAACTTTTCAAGCTTCAGATTTGACTTGATAGGTGTAGTGATGGAGCAGCCTTCACTCATACCAAAATGTTTGAGAATGTTCTGTATATACCTCTTCTGTGACATCTGGATAGTCCCCTTGTCATAATCTCAAATAATTTCTATGCCTAGAATCCAACAAGCCTCACCTACATAGATCTGTCAGATCATACTTGCTTGCAAGATGAGTCTTGAGGCATTCAATGGTAGAGCAGCATCTTGAGACAATAAGTTTGTCATCAACATAGAGAACTACAATAATGAGGACACCATCCTTGACCTTATAGAAAAGGCTGTGGTCTGTATGGCTTTCAGTAAATCCAAGATTTTTGAAGACAGATCTGAGGCAGCTATACAAGGACTTTGGTGCCTGCTTAAGTCCATAGAGAGCACAAAACAGTAACCACACCTTATTGTCCAATCTGAAACCTGGAGGGGGCCACAGGTGGATCTCTTTGTCCAGAGTTCCATTGAGAAATGCAGATTTCATGTCCATCTGATGGATTTTGAGGTTACACTTAGTGGCAAGTGCAAGCAGGAAATGAATGGTAGCAAACTTGGTCACTGGTATGAACATCTCTGTATAATCAACACTGTGGACTTGGGTAAACCCCTTTGCCACCAGGCAAGCCTTGTATTTGTCTATCTCACCTGTAGGGCATCATTTAACTTTGAAAACCCACTTAGAATCAATGACCTTGCACCCAGGTGGCAGGTTGACCTCCTCATATAACCCAATAGACTTAAATACCTTGAGTTCTTTGAGCATAGCAGTGTACCAGAGGTTGGTGTCAGTGCATTGCATTGCCTCATTGAACATAGTTGGTTTGTTGTCATGTGTTGTGGTTGCTTTGTAAGCAGACTCTTGCCACTTCAGTCAACCCCCCTCAGAGAACTATTAGGTCTGGAGATTTTGATAGATGTATTAACCTAATAGGTGTCATTTTGTCAGGAATTCCCAACTTTTGGGGAGTCTCCACCACCATTCCTGGAGATTCTCCAGAGCAGCAATTTGATATGGTTGGAGAAAATGTTTTCTGTGTAATATATATATTATACATCAAATTAAAGGGTAGCTGGGGTTCAAATTTGACTTTCTCCAGGCTAAATAGACCCCCTTTCCAGGTTGATCCTGGGGATTCCCAGGCTAAATAGACCTACTTGCCAGGTTGAACCTGGACTTTCCCAAGGGTAAATAGACCCACTTGCCAGTTGAACCTGGACTTTCCCCAGGCTAAATAGACCCATTTTCACAGACAATGGCAAGTTGTAAGCCATTCTTACAGAGTGACACAACTTGAGATCATCAATTATGGCACTTGCATTGGAATCCTAGGTGATCAGGAGGATTCCTTGAAAGGCAGGGGGGATGGAGAATCACAGACAGTAGGTGAGTGGTACAGGGTGAGAAAGGGGCAGGGCAGATGATAGAAGAAAGGGGAGGTAGAATGACACCTTCTACATATGACATCAGAATCATCTGGGTGTTAACTCTCAGGAAACATCCCCCTGACCAAACACTCCACTCATCCTTATGCACTCAAACTAACCTACCCTGTTCTTTGGCTCACCCTGGCCTTCATGCTGCTCTAACAAGATTATGGAGGACAGTTTGGACACCAACAAACTCCCATGATGAAGTCAAGAAATATACCTTTGAAAAAATTCTGTGATTTTCAGAAGTTGGGATGCTACCATCTCCTCTATGTCACCAGGAAAATCACACAGGTGTGAGAGGATGGAGACAAGGAACATGAAGCAGAGAGTATTGTCCTATTAAAGAATGAACTGTTGAGGGGCTCAAACACTAACAACACCACAAGGTATATCAGCAATTGGTGTAAATGACAGAGAAGGTGATCTGCTGAGTGCATACTCCATGTCCTGCTGGGGGTTGAGTCTATGTCATGTTGGGGATTCTCCATGTCATGTTGGAAAATACCCATGGCCTGCAGGGGTGCTCCATGTCAACTGTGGGGATTCTCCATGACCTGGGGTGATTCCCCATGTCAAGGATGGGGATTCTCCATGCCATGTTGTGGATTCTCCATGGCCCATTGGGGATTCTCCATGTCAAGTTGGAGATTCTCCATGACCTGTGGGGATTCTCCATGTCAAGTGTGAGGATTCTCCATGGCCTGTGGGAATTCTCCATTTCATGTTGGAGATTCTCCATTGGCCATGGGGATTCTCCAAGTCAATTGTGGGGATTCTTCATGACCTATGAGGAGGAGATTCTCCATGGGCCATTGTTAAGTATGGGTTTACCCTCAGGTGACTGGGCTTCAAGACCAGGTGACAGGGGCTAATTCTGGGTGGCCAGAGTCAAGGCTGGGAGACAGAGGCCAAGTCTGGTTGGACCAGAGTTAAGGCTGGAGGTCAGGGGTGAGGTCTGGAGGTCTGGCCTTAAGACCAGGAGTGCAGGGACAAGGCCAGTAGCATGGGAAACTGACCAGTCTTGGAGTGTGCACAGGGGGAATCCAGTCTGGGGTTGGATCTACCTCCCTTGGTCTCAGCTTATGTGGTTAGCATCCCTATACAAAGATGATTGGAGATCAGTGAAGGATGGGGGAGATGCAAGCCTCAAACTCACCAGTGGGAAAAGTGAATGGAGTCTTGTCTCAGAACAACAAGGTGGAGCTGGGGGTAGCCATGGAAAACCATTGGCCTTAATAGATAATGGAGAGAATGCTGCATTAACCAGGAAAGTAAGAAAGCAAGCAAGAGAAACCTGATTAGCATCCCTATATAAAGATGATTGGAGATCAGCCAAGGAAGGGAGATGCAAACCTTGAACTCACCAATGGGCAAAGTGAATGGAGTCTTGTCTCAGAAGGAGAAGGTGGAGATGGGGGCAGCCATGGAGAAATGTATGGGTGGGGGAAACAGCACAGGGATGACTGAAAGCAGATTTTCTAAGGGTTTGATTGTGTTGGACATATACCCTGATGACATTACTGTAGTGGGCACCAATATTTATGGGAATTACTCTGAGAAAATGGCCCAGGTGGACCAGGAGGATGGTTTCATGAGTTGGGGTAGAAGAGGGAGCCTTGATGGACCCAATTCATTGTTTGGCTTTGTTTGTATGATGACAAATCATCAAATAGACCATGTGATATACCATGTAAGCATTAGTAAGCACCTCACAGCATTTTGAACTTTGTTAAACTCAAAACTATGTAATCAAAACTGTAAGTCAAAACACTGTCCACATGACATGTCATTATCAAATGGCTGCTATTCTATCAATTCCTATCCAAATCACTTGATTTGTTGACCAATAGAAATCCAAGAGTAAGTACCTTATTTCATACACTCATGGTTAGGGCTAGGTTTAGGGGTTATTGCATGTAGTCATAACTAATGTAAAACATACACACATGTGGACAGTTTTTTGAGCCACTGTATTTCAGTTCTTATTTCATTTACAGGATCAATATGCCTCAAGAACATGCTCAACAGGTCATAGCAGCAACCAAACCAGGTGATGGTGCACTCTATTATTTATGCTAGTGTGGCTCAGAACCAATGCATTCTCTTTCAGGGAATTATGGTGCCTTTGGCACATGCATTCTTGAGAAATATAACAACCACTGGATCACCTCTCCTAATGCTGACTTTGTTCCTGAACCATTTCTCTTTGAGGGGAAGACAATCATGCTCTGCTGTGATGGCAGATTCAGCCACATTGACTGTTTCCAGTGGCCTTAACTATATGCCAAGCATTATATGTGGGCCAGATGTATCTGTATCCCTTGACAAGCAGTCTGTCAGGATGACTTGATGTGGTCTTGGATGTGGTGGAACATGAGGAATGTGCCAGAAGACTTTGCCTTGGAGAGAGGATTGGGGTTCAGGGTTGGTAGGGTTCATCTGGACAAGTGGAAGCATTTGGAGATCATGTACAAATGACTAGAAGAATGGGTGAAGAACTGGCCACCAAAGAACCCTGATGATGAGGGACCTCTACAGGTGCACATATAGATTAGGCAATGTTGAAGGTCTCTCATGCATCTGAAGGTATGACTATTTATGAGAGGCAAGTCCTCAGAGCAGAGGCAGAGGTACCTCTGGAATTGGTTGGGCCAAGCAGGTTGGATCACATGACTCACTGCTTTGGATGTGTCCCCCATCATTCCCTGTCTGTTGCATGGTTATCTTAACACAATTCCTGACCACATTTTGATCAGTTTTTCTGGGAACCAAATACATGAAGCTGCTGATATCTTTGGTCCAGAGTTCATGAAGGTTCAGCATGATGTACTGAGTCATGTGCAGTTCTGCAACATTACAATTGGTTTTGCAGGCCACACTACCATTGACTCAGCAACAAAGGGCAAGATTCTCTGGGACCCATATGAGCACAATTTCTGCTTCGAGCTGGTCACCCTGGACCATCTTCTGGTGTCCTGTTCTCTGGTTGAATGTGGAATCTGAGTGGCTGGACCAAGTCCATCAGGTATGTAAGTTTTTGCCTTGCACCTCAAAAGAATTGATTTACTAAATTTTTATGCAGATCTTCCTGGGAGATTCAGAGCTTACCATGTTTGCTGAACCCTCCCTGGTAAAGGATTAAGGTCTGGCCTCACTAGAACCCCAAATGAGGCTGGACTATGTCAAGAGGTTCCAGATGTTGCTTGCTTCATGGCCAGGGTTTCCACCAGATTTGGGAACCTCACTTCCATTCTCAGCCTCACCAGCATGTGTTTGGGCAGTGGAAAAGTGGCTTGCATTATTTGATGTGCAGTCATTCTTTGATAATGATAATTTTGGTCATTTACCTATCATCCACTGTCTTATTCCAAAAAATCCTCACAGTATTTATGGCTTGGGCAATAACCACTTAATCCCATCATCATCCACATTATCATGTGCATTGTCATCTGCACTTCCCCCCTGTCCCCCACAAGCATAATTATGTGGCTATGTACTTGTAGTTACCATAAAATCTGCATCCATCTCACCCCTCATCTGTGTCATTGCTCTCACCTATCATGCATCGAAAGATCAGCTTTCATCTATCACATATTCTGAGGAGGACAGTTGTAAGATATGAGAGTGATATAACAACCTTCTGAGTTCTGAATAAAAAAATTACTACTGATATGTAGTTGGTGGCCCCCAACCAATCATTGGTCATAGGCATATTGACAGGCAGTAATTGAGGAAGGCACAAGCTGCCAACCTCAAAGAGCCAAGAACTGACAAGGCCACAGTGCACATGTGACTTCCCACCATTGCTACAAGTTGCTCAACCTCAAGGAACAACTAAAAATTACAGGACTGCAGAAGAGCTACCATCCTGTACACCTAATAAGACAGAAATTAGTATGCAGAGCCATAGAGCCAGTTGAATACCTTATACAAAAGTGCAGAGGGACAAATCAATCCACTCCCATGGGCCCTTCAACCACACAAATTCTAGCAGAGCTATGGTTACAATGACACAGATGGTTGCAAAGGCCATAGTTAAGCCTATCTGTCCATAGTCACTCCAGTCCATTGAAAATCATATCACCTCAGAGTGGAATGAGATGGTTATGCATTGCTAAACCAAGTAAAGCTTACCATGAGGTGGTTGTAAAGTGCATCTACCTGGCTTTTATGAGGGGTCAGATGGGATGGGATCAACTAACTACAGTACCAGTCAATCCAAAGTCATGTTTTGGCCTAGCAGCTCATCAGTAATTGTCTTGATTATCCAGAAGGGATGTCACCACATGGATGGAACTGAGGCTCTTGTCCATCTACATGCTTGATCTCGAAGAACCATTGCATCTTTGAGTTTGAGAGGCATGGTAGGTATCAACAGGAACTTGAAGTCGACACTCAGACCCTGCATAGGGAGATTGAACCCAGGATACCTGTGAACTTGCTTGGGCCAATGGTGGTGACCTTGTCTTTGTAGTAGAACTTCTTTGAGAATGAATTCAAGTGCTTGCATGTGGATGTGGATGAGCAGTTCCCCACATGGTGTAGGTAAATTTCCTGGAAGGCATGGTGATGTTGGCATCTGTGATGTTGCACAAGTAGATGTGGCCAAAGAGCAGACCAAAGGACAAGATTTCCAGGCTCTCAAGGGCAAAGTCAACTCAACTTATGGATCAACATACTCTGTCCTGCAAAGCATGTCAGCACCACCCTAAGTCGATGTGAATGTACATGATGCATGTGTATGTTGAGCAGTAAAGGTTGGGTCATGTGCAAGGAGCTTCAATTCAATGAGGTGTGCTCGAGTCAACCAAAAAAAACAAAGAATGAAACATGATGAGTGAAAGCACCTGACAGGGTGGTCAATGGTGTCTGTTGATCCCCAATGTGATGAATGCACAATCCAAGGCATGTTCCTGTTCATGTTAAGCATACCATAGGCATACCAGTACACACAGACCACAAAAACCCCCCTGTTAGGACCTAAACCACAGACAGAGAATGATGAACCACTGCATTGAAGTTGAGGAGTACATCACCCTCCCATGGCATATGCACTTCTCCTTTGGCTCCATTGTCTACATCAATACTGTCTCTGAATAACAGCAATGGCTGGTTGGTCTCATGATCCTTGTGCCATGCCACAACACTGGATACAACATGAGGTATCTTATTGGTTATGTATTCTTCTTGAGAGTCAATGGTGGAAGGACATAGAGAAAACCCAAAATGTGATTCAGAAGTGCTGTTGTTGATGATGAGTGGGGTGTCCTATCCACAGTATGCATTGTATGAGTAGAAGCCAGAAGGATTGGTGTTGGGACCAGGAAGACCTTGATGGGCTCTTGTTCCTACTTGTCCTCATTCAGAAGAATTGTTGCAAAGTGTGGGGAATTGATGACCAGCTTGATGATGGTCTTGGAGCAACATATGACAAACTCATAATGAACCAGCCTCCATTATATGACCAAATCCAAAGTGGTCTTCACATTCTCTGATCCAGAATGGTCAAGGACCTGCAAAAATTGAGCAAACCTGTGCTTTGCTTCATGTGTTGTGAGCTTCAAATCTGTTTCAGTGGCAAGAAAGGTAGGCTCATTAAACAACTAATCAGTTTTGTGAGTCCAATTCATGCACCCTTTCTTGAATCTTTTTGAATACCATTTCTTTCGCAGAGAAATCAGATGGACTGGGACAAAGAAGCGGATATGACCCATGTGGCTTCCAACTCTAGCACACCTGCTGCAACCACCAATGAACCAAATGCTTTATTGTCTGTCAATGGAACTTCCCTTCTTCCAGATCAGTCTCAGTTGCCTGATGTTGTAGGAAAACCAAATGTTCTGCTAGCACCTAATGACATTCCCTCCATTCACGATGTCACCCCCATGCACGTGCCAGGGGACCTAACTGATGATGATGACCATTTAATATGCTGTGCTCTTAATCTACTGGAAGGCAAGAGAGAAAAGGCTTTGAATCTGCTGCACAAAACTCCCAGTTGCTCGACTTTAATGCACCTCAAGAAAGCCATGCTAGTGTTCCTGTGTTCCCTGAAACTTCCCATTCCATCTGTATCTGGGAAGCCACCCAGCATGGAAGAGTGAGTCGCTTACTACACTGCATGAGTAAAAGAGGACCTGGTAAATGACCTTGTATGCTCCTCCCATTCAAATATCTTGTCTGCAAACTCATTGACTCATCACATCATTGTGACAGACAGTGCAAGCAAATAGATGCTGTGAATCCAACTGAATTGGGTAACCACAAATTGGACATTTTCCAAGGACAGCCCAACCATTCACTAGGCTCTATGGATTGTGTTCAACCTCAAATGGAGATCCCATGTGATAATGGACTTGAGGAAGCACTAGCAGTGTTGGAGACCATGACAGGCATGAAAGTGCTATGTCAACTTCATAAGGCTTCTCTGGTCACACTTTGTGTTGCAAAGCTTGGCAAGAGTGAGAGTGCCTGCGAAACAAGTGATCATCCATCTTATGATGGACTTTCTAAGTTTGAATTGGCTGGGATGTTGGACAATTGAGTATGTCTGTGGTGCCTCATCCTCATGAACTGAGTACTCACAGTATTTTGTCATTGGACAGTCTCAGTGAAAAAAGACAGGCATTGTGGATAAGGATGGTCATTTGGTGGAGACACATGCACTGAAGGCAAGCAAGCACCAGCAACAAAGGAAAGCTAAGAAGATGAGAGTACTCAGCTGCACCACCCTGGTCTCCATCTGGGAGGATATGGATGGCTTATCTCTTCCTTCCTGGGTTGCCCCTGTGTCATGAGGAGTTGGGTTGCATGTCCTGTGCAATGACATCCATGCCATCCAAGAACCTCTCAAGGGTGAACACAGTTACAGGTGCTGTCATTGTGGGCTTGTGGCACATCAGGCACTTGTTTTGTAACAGTGGGTCTCTACCCACCCCATATGTGAAGTGACTCTGAAAACATGAGTAGCAGTATGTATGTCCACAATTGCGCACCTACATAAGTCATTAATGGCCTTCATGTTAACACATAAACTAACACGTAAACTAACTCACATGACCAGTCTATGAAGAACTTCACAGCATATGCTGCAGGACAGGCTATTCTCTGCTAAAGTAACCACCTTGTGACTGTTACTGATTTCAAATTTGCATAGAAAAGCAAGTTCTTATTCTATGTACAAACTCCTGGAAGTGTTTCTTGGCAGTAGCAAGCTCTATGCACAATGCAGTGTTCGCATCCATCTGAGATCCATACTTTCAGGCTGCAAACATGCAGCAAAAAGCGACCAGACAAACCAATGGTCCAATGATTGAGATATTTTCAATTTTGGGCTTTGATACCACTGACCAACAGGGAGGGATCACAACAAAATCACCATCATCACATTCCATGTTGATCAAGCCAAGTTAGTTGCCAAGGTGCCACAAAACTGAGTGCTGAAGATGTGAGGATAGCATGAACAAATCAGCTCAGTCAGATGCTGGCATTGCTCGTGTGGAGCTGGACAATGATCATTGGCAAGATGATGCCCTTGCACCTATGACAATAGTGCATCCTTCAATGACTCTGTCATTGCTGGCTTGTCATCACCTGTCATCACCTGTTGTGACTGTGACCATAGACTCACTACCAGGTCTTGTGTTACACTTAGACTGAAGTCAAGGCATAAGGGGAGCTCAGCCACAGACTGAGGGTTTCTACTGAGCAATGGCTGCAGTAACCTCTGTAAATGACAGAGGATTTGGGGCTTTGCTGGTAAGAGTGGTCCTGGTAAGGGACACTGAGGGTGAAGTTCTGAGAATGCTGCATATGATTGAGCAGCTCAAGTCTGGGGTTCCAAGACTTGAGCTGACAGGCTAAATACTACAAGGAAACAGACCATGAGGCATCTGCATGTAATGAAGTAACTATGCCATTGGTTGAGCAATGACAACACATGTCCTAAGCATGTAGTGAGACAGTGACACTAGTGGCAGAAACAGAGAGCCATCAGATCAAGGAGAAGACAGCTCTAAAAGGAAAAAAAGGAAAAGAAGTCCATCAGAATGAACACAAGGTAAACATACAGTGAAATGAGGGAAAACAAGGGTGAAATGTAACATTCCCCCCCTTCTAAGTGTTGAAGTCCCCAACTTCAATTACTCTCCATAGGGTTCCCTGGTCATGTTACTGATGACAGAGTCATCAAAGTCAAAATCATTGTCATATAAATCATTATCCTCACTCCCAATGAGGGTATGATCATCTACCAGTGCAGGGGTAGAGACTCTTTCATGTAATGGGGGGCAAGGGCATATAGATGGACACTGGGATTGAGTATGCCCAGGATGGGTGGTGCAGAAAAGGGGGCATTCATAAAGACTGCAGTTGACCTTAATATGCCCAAGGTGGCAGCAAATGTAACACACTTGATGATAGTGTGGGTCAGACAGAGTGAGAGGACTATCAGCCTTGGCACGTGTGTTCAGCACAGGAGACAATGGTAACTGAGTGAGGGTTTCAATGTGACTCATGGTGTAAGCAAGTTTGGCCTTGGATACACCAAAGGTGACCTTGGGGTTGACTACTGATGGTGACATCAAGCTGTGAGACTCACAGGGTCAGGGGTTGGGGCCTGACAGACAACAGGCACAAGGTCTATTTGCTCTTTGAAGAGAGTAGGATGATTGGGAGGACAATGGTGATGATGACACAGAGGAAAGCAGGGGAGAGGTTGCAGTCAAGGGTCTTTGAGACCCAGGAGGAGGGGGAGTGATCAATGTGGGGTACTGATGAATGTTATAAATGAGGTCTGCACCTCCAAGCATATCAAAAACTCTTAGAAGCAGGGGAACCTGCTCATATGCAATTTCATTCAAGACAGTTTGTGTGGGGGACAGAAGAAGGTTCTGTCAATTTACATGGCAGGACAACTCTTCAAGCCAAAGGGCTTGGATCATGGCATGAGAAATAAGGTTGAGAGGAGAGTTCTCATTGACCTCATGATAGACAGTACCAATGATGGCAGGGTTAGTGATGAAGAGACAGTAGGAAGCAATCATTTGGTCACTAGCAGGTTTTCATTGGCAGTGGGCAAAGGGGGAATGACAATGAGAGGGTTTGCAGGGGCAGGTGTAGTGATGAGGAGGCATTTTGAAGGTGATATTTCTGACAGTGTGAGAGGGGCATCAAGTGGATGGTCTCTGGGGGAAGAAATCCTTTGGGAAGCATTTCCTATATGCAGAGAGCATATTATCTGCATGTTCCAGGTGTGTCCACAGCCAGACATTTTATGGTTGACTATCACTTCAACTTCATACTCTTCCTGCTCATTGATAAGGTCAGGTGGTGGAGTCAGGAAGTATGGTCCATGGACATCATTTTCATGATAGGGTGATAAGAGTGACACATGGAAGATGTTGTGGATCTTCCATCTTGCAGGAATTGCAAGGCAATACATTATCAGAGATAGGGCATCAGAGATGATGAAAGGTCCTTCTCTTTTGGGGGTGAGTTTTCTATTTTCATAGGAACATTTCAGGTTCTGTGCTTCTAGCCAAACCTTATCACCTTTTTGGAATGGGGTAAAGGGTCATGATGACTGGTCTTTCATTGCCTTTCTGGCCAGATTGTGTGCTGCAAGGGCTTCCTCTCTGGCTTTGCAGAGTTCCTCAAGTCTGGACCCAGCAGCAGGGAGGTGGGTGTCCACAATCAGGGATGGGAGTGGTTTCAGTTCATAGCCATACATGAGGAAGAACAGTGACTGATGGGTGATGGAATGGGGATGGTGATTATGTACAAATTCTGCCATAGGGAGGTTGTCCACCCATTGAGTGGGGTCATTTTGGCAGAAGATGCAGAAGTATGTTTTGACCTCCTGGTTTACATGTTCAGTTTCTCCATCAGTATGAGGGTGATACACCATTGACAGGCAAGGGAGTATCCTAACAGGGATGCCAGTTCTTTTGCAAATGCAGAGGCAAATTGTGGACCTCAGTCAGGTATGATTTTGTCATACAACCCAAAATGGGAGTAGACCTTTTTGAAAAAGAGGGCCACAACATCAGCAGCAGAGGCAGTTTTCTTCGTGGGTGTTAAAACCACCCCCTTTGTAAGCCCATGGTCTACCACAACCAAGAGGGAATCATAACCCTTTGAAAGGGGTAGGTTGGTGACCAAGTCACAGGAGACCTGTTGGAAGGGACAGGTTGAGGTTGAGGGGATGGGCATGAGGGGTGGTGTTGTTGGGTGGGTGTTAACCTTATTTTGTTGGCATATAGCACAGCCTTCAACATATTTGTGGATGAAGCACATGAGTCCTGGCCACCAAAACTCAGAAGAAATGAGTTGTCAGGTTTTCAAGACACTGGGGTATCCTGCAGAGGGGTGATTATGGTGGTTGGACACAATGGTTCATTGGAGTGAGGAGTCATTGGGAATGTAAACCCAGTCCTTGTAGAGTAACACTCTGTGATCAAACCTCCAATCTGACAGATGAGATTTGAATGGGAGGGGCATGTCAATGTCTTCAATGGCTCTGAGACTGGTTTGGACCACAGGGTCTTTCACAGAGGAAGAGGTGACCTTTTTCATAAGGTTTGTGTTGATGAGATTGACAAACATGGTCTGGGGAAGGAGGGTCACTCCTTTGTTATCACCATCATCATCAGGAACATGGTCAGGTTGTTGGGAAAGTGCATCAGGGGCAGCCAGGTCTTTACCTGGTACATGTTCAAGTTGCAGATCAAAGTCTGTGAGGAGCCAGCAAGCCTGGTGATGGTTCAGGTTCTAGGGTGCTTTGAAGTATGTCAAGTTGTTGTGGTCAGTAGAGACCTTGACTACAAACAGAGATCCATGGAGATAGTGTCTCCAGGTTTTCAACCCTCTGATAACACCTAGAAGTTCTCTATCATAGATGTCATAGTTTCTTTCTGTGGGGTTGAACAATTGAGAGATGAAGGCACAGGGTTGCCATTGTCTGTTGGAATTCTCCTGGAGAAGAACACCTCCAGTTGCATACTTGGATGTGTCAGTGGTGATTGTGAATGGTCAAGAGGTGTCAGGCATGCAAAGGGTCAGTTGTGCCATGAAAATCCTTTTCAGGAGTTCAAAGGCATTTTGGCATTTCTTCAACCATTCCCAAGTGATGGTTGTCTTGGTTAGGTTGATCAGAGGATGAGCAATGTCCAAATAGTAGGGGACAAATCTTTGATAGAAGTTAGTGAATCCTAGGAAGGATCACACATCCTTAACCTTCTTTGGGACTGGCCATTCAGCAGTTCCTTTGACCTTGACAGGATCCATGGCAACAGTGTTTTCTTTGATGATCATGCCAAGGTATTCCACCTTGGTAAGATCAAAGTGACATTTTTCTAACTTGAGGGGTAGTGACAACTCCCTCATTTGTTTGAGAACATGGTGGGTTCTTTGTTTATGTTCTTTGGGGTTGGTGGAAAAGATGAGAAGGTCATCCATATAGACAACCAGCCATCCTTTGGTGATCATGTCTCTGAAGGAGTCATTCATGGATTGCTGGAAGGTGGCAGGAGAATTGCACAACCC